ACTGAAATGGAGCAGCTATTCAAAAATGGATAGTAACAGGAGAAAACAGCTTAGAGTGGGACAGATATTGTAAACAGCATTACTGAGAGAATGGTAGACATCTAAAAACTGTGAAATGAGCTCCAGCCTTTGCTAGATGAAGAACTGGAAGCCCAGCTGAGGCTTTCAAAGCAGGGACTGAAAAAGGTATGCTGGTAGTGAGGCAAAAAAAAACCCAAAACAAAACAAAACCCAAACCAACAACCAGAAACTCCCCAAACCAATCAACCTCCTGGGCTGAAAATGCGGCCCATAAGGATTATTTACATGCAGGAAAAAAACTGGAATGAAAGAACTCAATTATGACAAGATGAGCAATCACTTGGGTCTTCATGCTTCTTTTAATTATATACTACTATTAGTGTTGACAAGTACTTTATAGCCTTACAAATGTGAAAGTTTTCTTATTTCTTCGATATTTGAATTGAAGTAATATTAATGATTTTGGCCTTTGAAGGTTAAGATGTATAATTGAGATACACTACGGGGAAAATGAAGCAAATTGGAGGAGTGTTTTATATCATCCTTTAGTTGAAACACTGGGATGGACAACACAGAAATACACACATACTATAAGCAAAAGAATATAGTGGAACCAGGCTACAGAGAAGAAAAACAAAAACAAATCCTAATTTTATTTATGAAAATTACTATTTTCACACTAAGAACAACTCAAAAATGGAGTAGGAAATTGAGAAAGGTTGTGTAAGTAAAATTATTTGGATACTCAGAAAATAGTGTAATAAAGAATTTGCAAAATACCATGGCAGAATGGATTTTTTCCCCTGCAACACAGTAGAATTTTTGTATATAACCTTTAGATTTTATAAATGTTCTGAACAGGTGTTTGTACTTTATTATTAGCACAGTATCAAATACCTTCAACCTAGAGTTCTCAACAAGTGATTAAAGATCCTCAGGAAAAAAAGATATGTCTCTTGATTGTGACAGATTGCTAATAGCAATAAGCCATAAAAGAATTAGTGTTTATTAAAGTGCAATATGTATTTCCCAAGACAAGTATGAAGAAATGTCATAGAAATATAAGCTATTACAAAGACAAAACCAACACAGGCTCATGATAGAACACAGGAATTTTATTAACAAATTATCTTTCAGCAGCATGAAAAGAAAAAAACCTGTAAGAGCCCTTTATGTTCATTTCAAATATGGAAATATATGAATGCGCACCTCTACAATAAGGTTTAAAGTTAAAAGTCCATACAAATATTCAAAAATAATATTTCTTTCCATAAAACATAGAAGGAAAAATAATGCCAAAGAAAAACAGGAACAAACAAATGACCATTAAATAGAATTCCATAGTACTGTTTTACAAACTGCCATAACTCTTCAAAGTAATCCACAGAAATTATTTACCCAGTAATCTGGTTTAAAAAACCAACAGAATGCTGCTTGGTATTCTTCAGAGACAACAGTGTTCCCATCTAAAGGCTACGTATCTGTTTTCAGTCAGTGCAAAACGACCGAATTTGAACCAAGATTCTTATTGCACAGAATTTACAAAACCTTAAAATAAGTTTAAAAAAGAACAGAAAAGAAAAAAAAAAAAATCAGAGGACATGTGGTACTACAAGTCAAAGGTTAGCGTTAAACCTTGGCTATTCTTAAATATTACAAAGTATTTGCCTGTTAAATAAGTTAAACCAATTTATGGCTTTGTAGAGTACAACCACTAAAATCACTAATGAACCTGTTTAATCAGAACTTAAGATACATTTTACAGCTTTCTTTTCAGACCATACCTTGAGGCAAATACCTTCACTATTGCAAATTCTGCTCCAAGTTGATTTTTAAGTTTCCTTCKTGTTCTGTCTTAGTAAAAATATTCTCATTCTTTCCTTTTAAATCTAAGTTACCATTTAAATCAGCAAAGGGATCCTGGACTGAGTAGAGTATGTTCAGTGAAAAAACCTTTACTTTGCCTCTCATAGAACTTTACTCTTCTATACTCCTCAACAGTGCATTACAGATACTTAACCTTCAAATTAATATTTTCTTCCTTTTCTCATCTGTGTTTTTCAATTAAAGTCTCTAATTCAAGTAATCTCTATAGTATTGCCAATTACATTAAAAAATTTAATTTCAATCGTATATAACGAGCCTTGCAGTATACTGTTATTAAAATTAAATGGGTATTTAGCAGCATAGAATACAAAATTCCATGTTTATTCTTCTTTTTATAGTAGTCAGTAGTTTTAAAAAATACCATCCTGGACAGCAAGATGCTCATAGACAAGTTCATAATGAGAAAATGATCAAATCAAATGTCCAATTTTAATCCATGAAGCAGAACACTTTTGTTTATAGAAAAATGGCCAAAGGTCTCTAATGGCCTTYGGCAGTATTAAAGAACATGTTTTAAAAATAGTCAGAGTTGTAATTTTTTTTTTAATTAAAATTTTAATTTTCCCCTAATCAGTTTGAAATTCACACAGGCCAAGCTATTTGTGGAGATGTTTGTATTAAGGTTTTCTCACAAGAATCTTGGTCTTTTATAGGAAAGAAAAACCAAAATTCTGACCCTGATAACCAAACTCTTGATAAGGTTTGGGATCACGACTCTCTTCAATGTTTTCTCCTTGTTACCCAACATAAGGGCATTACCATGGCTGCATGAAATTAAATTWCATAAACCTACTTCATAGAGTTAGCAAAGACTGAACAAGTGCAAGGCTTTAGGGATACAATCTTTRTTTTGGGTTGGTTTCTTTTGTCTGAATTGTTTTTATGTTACAATGCAAACCGGATTGTTCCGCTTACATTTATCCTTCAGATCGAGATAATTCCCTGGTAATAAAAGGATGTAAATTCACTCAGATGCTGTTTGATTAAATTATAGAAGTACTCCTAACCATACTTTGGGGTGTTACGTGACTATTTGATCTYATTTCTTGTTATTCCAATAGATTTACTTTATAAATACAGCTTCAGTGTTATTTCACAGCAAATGGCTCTGCACCACCAGCCCTGGAAGAGAAAAGGAGCTATTAAACTGTCAGCCTTCACCCTTCCATTAGACTTTTCTGAGCAACAAAACATCTGTTCTCCTCTTACACAGATTTTTATATCCTGTTGATCCTCTTGCTTAAAAAAAACATCAGACGCATCACTGATTAAGGACTTTGATTGCTTATATTCTCCTTGTAATACTGATCATCTCTCCACACATTCTGTGGAGCAGGTACTAAAACATTTTATCTTTTTCACACTGTTAACCATGGAAAATAAACATTTTCTTTAAAAAGAAATTACTGATTTGGCAAACAAAGCCTAATGGTACATCTGGACAACTGACTTCAGTATGAAAGCAGTTTCCTATCTTTTCTACTCATGTGGGGTGTTTGAAAAGTACTTCTATTTAGGTATAAGTAAAAATACTCTTTATACATCACACCTGTCGAACAATTAATAGGAATGAAATTGTTTATGTCAGAGAAAATACGTATCTGTGTGCTAGCTTTTTAAAGAAGAGGAATTTGACTTTTTTATGGGACTGCTTACATGCTTACATGCTTAAATTTAAGTATGAATTTAAGTATAAATATGAACAGGGTTCACCCTGTTGAAATCAAGTTTAGATTCAAAAAGAAAAACAACAGTCAATGTGTAGTCCATATTAAAGTCACATATAAAGTGCATTGACATTAYGGAAAATTCAAAATAAATTAAAATTCTACGACTACTACTATTGATATCCTTATGCATTTTAAAACTATGTTATTAGGGCCTTTTCAAGGTGACAAAATCAGGCTCAAATCTGGCAATATATTTGACTGTGTAGGTGCTTAAGYGAGTTTGAGTTTTTTTGGGTAGCTGTAAATCACCTGTGACCCCAACTCACCAACAGAGTTGGAGCCCAYCCAGACAGGAAAGGGACATTTTCTGTGCATGTGCTGCTTTTTACTACACCAGCAGCACAGCAGCTCTGGGGGAAAATGTTAAAACAATTTAATCACGAGATATTTTCAATTAAAAAAAGCAAATCTAGTGGAGCCTTCTCACCCAGCAAAACACTGTGGTGGAACCTGTCCACACAGGCATCACAACTTCACACCTGAGGGAAATGTTCCTGAAATCCAGAGAGACACAGAAAGGACCATAATAAAGAATATAAGGTGATCTTATTTGCCCACTAGGAAAAACCCTCTCAGTGCAGTATTTTCTGTTCTATAACCTCTATGTGGATATGGAAACCAAACAGATCTGATTTTTGCCACATCCATTAGATTCTCAYGGATCTTTCATAGTTAAGATCAATCAGAACCGGTTTTCCATCCCCAGGAAACACACAGAGGCCTTCAGGTAAGTTTATTCTTACCCTGCTTTCAGAAGACCAGGATTACTGCCACAGAAATGCTCAACAGTCCTGCCTGGGTGTTTCAAGCACTGGATTGATGGCAAAAAGCTCCCAGAACTWGGGGTAATGATTTGCAGGTAATGAAAGCAACAAAACCAGCAAATCCAAAAAATATTTCACAGCTTTACAGAATGMAAGTGACAGCTGTGGCTAGTGAGAATCTCAGATTTAAGGGAAATTCATGCTGATAAAAGTTTCTTTTTTCCCCCTTTTTTCTTTCCTTCTGTTTAGATACAGGGAGATAAATTTTAGATTTTTTAAAAAATAAAACTAACAAAATCTTTCCAAAATATTTCAGTAAGTTTCTTTTCCACTGACTTTGCAACCACAGAAGATCCTTGAAGAAARAAGATAATTAAATCCAGATAGTTCTCCTAGGCTGAAAATACACTGSAAATCTCCTCAGAGAGGATATGCAGTGTCTTTATGCTGTGAGGAGTTGGTATCATATGGTATCATATGAATCACACTCTCACATCCTGGGCAGATCACCAGTGAGCAAAATCCAAACAGGGTTTACAGGATAGAACCACCACATGGCATTTTCATATAAAAAAAAAAAAAAAAACAAAAACCCAACAACCCAGCGAGGTGCATTCTGCAGCTGCTGAAATTTCAAAATTATTTCAGAAGTGCACCATATAGGACATGTTAAAGTAAAGCCCATTTAGAGGCAATCTTGGTCTGAAGGAGTTGAGGCTTTTCTCCTGAGAACACTAAGATACATCCTGGAAACGATGCTGTGTGTTTCTCCAAGCTAGGCAAAGACCTCCACAGTTACTTTCAATGTATTTCCTCACACTGTACTGCCTGCTTGGTCTAGAACAAGCTTCAAACAGCAAATTCTCCCCAAAAAAATCATCAGAGTGAGAGTGGTAGAGGCCACACAACATATTTCACTACTGCACTCAGATTCAGAACTCATCAACATCTTTACAAACTTAATCAACTTTTACAAACATCTGAACAAAGACTCCACTGGATTTAGTTTGGGTTTTTTTTCTAGGTATTTATTTCAAGATTTTGCATTTTTTAGATGTTACTCTACTTCATTTATGAACTATGCAGATATACAAAGGGGTTTGCTGGGATTTTTTTGCTTTTGAATGTTTTACCAARGATTATGATCTGGTGGTTTTGTTAGATTAAGTATTTTCTTGGGTTTTTTGTGAATCAGGAAAGATTTCCAAATTCAGAGAACTCCTATGCATAAACCGAGACTAGTTGGATCAAAGGCCACAATCCCARTCATTAATTATACTGAGTTAACTCAGTTACTGACTTAACTCAGTATAATTAATCAAAGTCAATGTCATAGAAATCAAACCAGGGCAGATATGGCACAACTGTTGGGGCATATAAATTACAGTCCTGATTTGTAAATACCCCACTTTACTAGTTTGCAGAGTGTATTGTGTACTTAACAGTATAATGGGAATCAGCACAGACAGAAATCATTACTTCCAAATTGGCTTTTAGGAAAAGGAAAAATACCAATTTTTATTGGTAACAAACCTGTAATGACTGTAATGAACTTGTAGAGCAAGCACAAACATTTTGATAAGCTTTCAAATGTTTATTTAAACATCATTTGAGCATCTTAGTCTGGATATACACCCTTTCAGAATTTCCAGAAGAGCCACATAAGGAAACCCCTTCTAACATTTAGGTGGATGTGTGTAGCTTGGAATAAAAACCTGTAAGAGTCTGGATTGCAGTATTGGAATCTATTCTGGCTGTTTCATTYTACATTTAGAGGGCTGGCTTGTCTTGAAGGGTGGCAGAAAATTATGTTGCTGGATGCATAAATGCATATGAAAATGCTGCTAAATAGCCTAAATAGAAGAGATCTTTGTAGTAAGACTTCTCTTTCCAGTGTGCACAAGCACACAGTTCGAGCTTCATTCACATGCACAAGGTATACAAAAAAMCCTCCCTTTCCAGAGCTCTGAAAGCCAAACATCAAAGAAGTGTTTTCCTTCCATCTCAGTAATTTATGACCTGGGCTGGCCCTGGGCATCTCATTGTATCCTGTAGAAGCACTCTGGTCAGGGTAGGGCTAGAGATGATGGTAAAGCCATTTCAGGTGTCGCTCTGTTAAATGACTGAAAAACTATTTAGGGCACAGATCTAAGGCTTCTCTTGCCAAGTGATTGCTTTAAAAAAATGGGACGGACACTACTTAAATGGAAACAGATTTTCTTTCGGGATTTCCTCCTCCTTAAAATGCCCTCATCACACTGAAAGACATGGAACTAAAAACAAGTAACTTCTAGCAGAAACTTCGCAGTTATGTTTTGTTGTACAGAAAGAGAAAGAAAAGGGAAGAAAGGTACATCCATGGAAAAAAATAATAAATGCCTTTTCCCCCGGTGTCATGTCTTTGGATATGTACAGCCTTGGAGAAATGTATAAATCATTTTGTACATGGAACTCTTAAAAAACTAGAGATTTTTAGTACAAAGGAATYAATTCACTGCAAGAATGTCCACATGCTGTTGCTTTATGATTTACTATGTACACAAGAGGATCAAACAAAGGACCTCTGTTTTACAGTTACTGCTGTACTGTACATTAACATGTGGTTAATACCCTTCCTTGGGTGAGATTTACACTCAGTATTACAAATAACAATGCTGAAAATACTGATACAAAACAGCTTCAAGATGACATTTTAAAAATATCCCTCGCTTTCACTGAACTGTTTTTTTTCCAGTTTTTTTTTAAGTTTCAGCTCTAAAAAAGATTGTTCTCCAAGAAAATAGTAGCATTTAAAATGCTATTTTTGAAGTTTATAGATGGATTTTTAAATAAAGTGTAATCCAAAAGTCCATTTTCCCAGGAAAAAAAACCAGCTATAGATACAGTACATAACCTAAAACAAAGAGGGTATTAGTTTGCTTGTTTTTTTTTGTTTTTCTTTAACATAGTAAAGTACATTTGTATCCTGGAAAAAAAATTCCTTGATTACAGAGTATGCTTAATTTATTTACAGATCTGAAATTCAATTGCTTACATCAACTCTTGAGATGAGCAATACTGAAAYGAATTGTTAGTAAGAATTAACTGTCCTTTAAACCCACCATGACTTCAGGATACTGCTAAGAAGAAAAAGTGATTCTGAGCAGTGAAATTATCTTATTACTAGTTTTAACTTATTTGGTAGACTCTACATTATGAGTTTCAATGCAGGATTGGRAGTCTTGAATACCCACAGTTAATTCAGTAAAGCTGTGTTTGCAATTTTCGCACATTCTGTTTTGGCAGTAGCAACGCACACATGAACATGAAGAATTTTGGCAAATGTTTGTCTTGGTTCTTATGTATCCATCTCTGGATACCCAAAATTATCACTACAGAATATTTAGACAAAACCTGCTCTCTTCAAYATCAGATAATGTAATAAAATCTGCTCTAATCAAAATAAAATCCTCAGTAAACAGAAGCCTGAAATTTTAGGCTGCTGAAATTGCTTTGCAGAATACCTGCCAAGCTCATAATCTATTTTTTTCTAAATCTAAACAATCCTTGTTTTAATCCAGGTATTAAGTAGTGTAGCAGACATATTTAACACTAGGTAAAATTTTATCATTAAATCATTTTATATACGCTATGTGACTTATCTTTTAAAAGCTCCAGATTTTTAGTGGCAACAGAAGCTTTATTTTTCATGTTATGCTATCTCTGTTAAGTCACAATGGCTCGCTTTTGTGTGTGAGAGTGAACTTCACCCTTGTCTTTCTTTATTAATCACCAGTTAAAGAGAGAGGTGACTTGTCTCAGATCTGCCTCAATCATACTTAAATGTGCCACATTATTTATAAACCACTAACTGCACGTGCCATTACAGCTCAAACTGATTACTCTGCATCAGAGAGGTTGTAAACGAAATGTCATGTTCGATATATGCCACATGTTTGGAGTAACTGGACTGAGATGTTTCCAAAGCCTTCTGAGAGGGGAAAATCTGATCTTTTGCCACTGACAGATCTTCAGGTTCTGTGGTGTGACCAGATGATTCCGTGCTCCCATGAGACCGGGCAGGAAATGAATCTCACTTGTCTGTGCCATGTCAAGACTAACAAACCCACTGAGCTGCTGTMAACCAACACGTCCTGAAGGGCACAAGACACAGCCCACAGAAATTATGATTTAGGCAGGTCATTTAGCCTGAGTAATAAGATGATTTCTCTTACTTTAGTCTTCCACACATTTCTGGTTTGGGAAGTGAAATGAAATTTTAGAATGCATTACACAGCAGAATGTCACACTGCATTGTGAGCGCTATGGCGCCTGCAAAGCACAAAGATCACCWCAACTTGACATGTCATTGTGGAACAGAAACACTCAAAGAAATGAAGTTAAATAGAAGCGTGAAGAGGGAAAGGAAGGTTGAGGAAACAAACTGACATCCTTAGTTTGGGACCCAATTACTGACTCGAATACCTGGCGAGTCTCTATGAACCTGTTAGAGGAAAATCAATCACTTCCCCTACTTGTGGCATGAGGCACATACAGCAGGAAGTGTTAACATTCTGCAAGTAACCAAATTTCACTGTACAAAAAAAAAAAACCAACCAACAAGAAAGTCTAAAAAGAGGGTCCTTAAAGATTTCTGACTCCTTATTTCTCTAATCTTTATGAAATTCAGGAAGGTTTCTAATTACTTATCTATTCATTTCTCACATCTACTTGAACAGTAATATTATTAAACATACAGGATTATTTAAGATCATCTTCTAGAATTTCAGGGAATSATAGTGACTTATAGAGGGGAAAAAATATATTTAGCCAATATTGGACTAGCAGTGCCAGCCAAATGGTCCCATTTATTACACCCGTGGTGACTTCTGCATGACAAATCAGCCCAGTTACTTAACAATCTAATTCATCCTATTGCCTCAGTCCCAGATGGGAAAATATGGAACCTACAGACAATGTTAAAGTTTTATTTATTTTTTTTTTCACATGAAATTAGCAGCAGATGAGAACTGAAAACAGAGCTTTAGGTGAGCTTATGTCCCTCTTYAATCAACTCTCCTTCCATGGCAAGAAAAATAAGCACCTTGTTAGCCATCTTGTTGACCTAAAGTCTGTAGCTCTGCCGTGTGCAAATTGTGGTGGAGGAAAACATTTTTTCTGCTGTACATATGTAAAGAGATGGGCCCCCTGGGGGGCTGTCCCAGTCTCCCTGTGAAGGTGGTATGCTGCCGAGGCACAGCAGTTGGGTCTTTTGGAGCTCCTGAGAACATTGGGAAGCTTTCTGCCTTGGATGATGGCTTTGCTGTGCCGGGTGCTGTGACAGCCAAACCGTTCTGGGTGACCTCTGAAGCCAGCGCTTCATACGTGCCTTGGGTATGCTTGATGGCTTCCACAATCTCCTTCTCTTTTAGTAGGCTGCTCAGACACAAATTGGACAGCTGACAGCTCTTGCTTTCATATGCTGCTGCTTGGKTGCCTGGTGGGTGTCTAAAAGGGTCCTCGGTGGGAGTATGTGCTGACTTTCTGTCCCTTGTGCTGAGATTTTGGCTCGCCGTTCTGATTGGATATGTAGTCTGGGGAAACAAACAGAACAAAAACCCCAAAAGTTATTAGTAATAGAAYACAGCAGAGAAATGGTGTAGAGACATAAAGCACTCCTCACCATACATGGTACAGCACACTGTCTGGCAGGATAAAACCAAAGACAACTTTCAGTATCTGGTAAAACTTCCAAGGCACTGCCATCATAAAATAGAAGTATTGTTCATTCACGTTTAACAGCACTAGGACTGAAAAATGCTTACTACAAATAATGATTTCGGCATTTTCCTTTAAAAAAAAACCAGTTAAAATCAAAGGAGGGTAATATTCTTTTCAGAACATAATAAATGGATAAAAAGTTTCCACRAATTGTAAGCAGATTTGCAAAAGCATTTCACATGATGAAACAAAAAGAATTTTGATAGCATAGAGTTCAACACTTAATACTYTCAAATACTCACAAAATCTAAAGAATAGGTTTTGTAAATATCTTCATGTTTTGGTTAAGCTCAAAACAGGCTCAATTTTCATTGTCCCTTGAATACAGATGTTTTTTTGTATATTTACAAGTCAAATACATGCCAAAATTCTCTGCCAGAGCAGAGTGATAATTTTATAGCAGCTGCCTAGCAAAAAAAAAAAAAAAAGTAAGAAGTATTCCAGCATGTCACCAACTTCTGATGCTGTGCAAGCATGCATGCATCTGATCTTGTTTAAATGATGGTACTTTATCTGTGCATTGCAAATCAGATCACTGCAGACTTTCAGTGTGTACCTGGTGCAATGCTTCATAYTGTCCCCAGAACACCTGACTGGGGAGGAGATGATGGTACACTTCCCCAGGTAATGGTTAATTTGAAACAAAAGCCCATTCTGACTCCTTGTAAGTTTTCTGCAACAGAGCTCTGAAAGGACATAGGAGCAGCTTCTTGTCGTTTACATTGATATATGAGCTCTGATGTTGCAGAACAAAGCTGAGAGAATAAAAAAATACTATCAAGCTTTACAATACTATTTGGCTAAAAATGTTTCAGGATGTTTCCACAGGAAACTTAGATATATTGTTTCAGAATGAATTGTATCACTTCACATGAATTTCTATTTTAAGCAACACAGAAGAATAATACAGTCAGTGTTCACAGCTTAAATCCTTTTTTGAGTCCTGGCAGGCTAATGGCCATGATTCCATGCAGAGCTATAAGCAGGTTTGGGTACAAGGAGTGTAGTGCATTTTAGGCATCAGAGAAGATATTAAAAAATTACTAGTTCTGGAACATAATTTTTTCCCACTTTATTCAGTACTGATTGCACCCAGATTCATAAATAGGAGTAGAAAACTTCTGGAAAACATCACTGCAGCTTTTATGTTTATAGCACACAGGTGTTGAAATGAAATTCCATTTAATTCCTAGGGTATCATTCTTGGGAGGACCTGTCTGTAAGTTTAAAACCTTATTYAYTTATTTATTTATCTAGCAATTWTTTATTTTCATGCCAGTAAATATAATATCCCTACTGGGACAAGAGATTCAAATTTAATGCCCAGTCAAAAATCCATGCATTTACTGTAAGGAAATATTTCTGGAGTAACTATATGCCACTCTACATCTTTGAAAAACTAATGATTGATATGAATAGAGGAACTTGGTGGTGGAACCTCCAGTCTATCCTGAGCTTCTGGTTTATTCCAGTTTATCCCTCTGGRCATTTATGGTCCTCAAGCATCTGTTAAGGACCTTCATCAGTGTAACTCCAYTCAGATTCTTTCTCTGTATTACCTTTATTTTCAGAAAAGGTCTTCCTAATGTCTAAACTGAATCTTTCTGTCTTCTCTCTCTCTCCCATGGAAATGAAGAAAGAATTGCTGTTTGATCTCGAATACCTGTTTATGTCTTCAAAGAATGCTGTCAAGCAACCCCTTAATCCTCTCTGCTCTAGAATAAAAAAATACCACATTGATCTTTTCTCATAGGACTCATCTGCTAGACTCTGAGTCATTCACACTTGTCTTCTCTACAAATTCTCTTCAGTAATTCCACTACTTTTTTCTTGAAGTGGAATGCTCAGGAGTACACTACTCAAGGTAATCCCCCACCATMATGAAGCAGAACAAACACTATTAATCCTATGAAGGACTTCTTCATCTGCTTCTTATTAATTACCCCAGTAGGAGGTTAGTAATTTTATCTAGCAACGGCATGAAATTGTTCACTCGTGTTCATCTATTTGTCCACAATAATTTTATGATATTTTAATCCAAAATTGCATCTAAGTTTATCTGATTATTGTCACTTTGATTTTTTTATATTGATGAAATGCTATTATGACCATCTAGCACTGTGGTGTTCCTTTCCTCTTCCCTATTCAGGTTATATTTTACATGAAACATTTTCAATTTACAAAATAAATGCCGGGTTTGCAGGTCAACAAAACATTTGCTTCAGGTTGCTGGCCAGTGCAGGGAGACAATGTGTGTGTATGTATCAATAAACATTCAATAATATAGACGGTTAGGGAAGGTCTTGGTTTTAAGACCTTAGTTTTTTTAACTTGCTGAAATTCCCCTCCTACTGAATAATTAAACAAATACCGGGTGGTGACAACTAATTTACCTACATTTTAAAACATCAACTGAAATTCAGAATAAGCCATCAGAATTTTAATAAATTGCTTTGGCCCTGTCCCCAGCAATAAGATAATAAGATGATTAATAAGAAAATACAGACTGATTCTATCAGATGCATGGTTAGACATCAAGTGAGCAGAGATTTTAATAGAAAAGCTGCCAAAGCCCAATACTATTGTTGTTATCTATGACAAATTACTGGAGAATAGCTTCTAATCAGGAAAAGAGAGAGCASTGGTCAGATGGGAGTCAAAGTCAACAAGAAATCCTCACCCCTCTTCTCATCCCAATAACATTATTCTCCCTCCAAAATACTGTCAATAAGAAGTCCAATGCTGCTTTGCCTTCTATGCAAGTTATTTTTTGCTATCATTATAACATTTTATAAAAATTTCAACATATAGAATTGAAATTAATTGTTCATTTCATGACTTCAGAYAGTTTAGCTTGAAAGAAAGCAGTGCAACAGAGTTTTCTTGCTGGTCCATTTTCTAGKTATTTAGCATCCCCATGAACTGGTCAGAATAAGAAAAATGTCCCAGAATGAGATGCACAAAAGTAAAAAACACATATGCCATACCAAAAAACAAAAAAACAAAAACCAAAACCAACTTTAGACAAACTTACACATCTATTTTTAACCTACTTCTCCTTATCTTCCTGTAAACGTCTAATGCAAAATTTTCAGTGACAAACTTTTAGGTACCAACCGCGTTCTCTGAGCATCAGACGTGAGTGAGCAAAGCCGCAATCCCAACGCATCTGTTTGCCAATTTGAAGGCTGAGTCCTTGTCCAAAGCCGAAGGTGGCTTGGTGCCAGTCGTGCTCCAGCCCAGCCTAGAGCAGCTGCGGTGCTGCTGTAAACTGCTGCTTGGCYGAGCTCCAAGGAGCCGATCTGCCAGCTGGTGACTGCTGAAGCAAAAAATCCATTCATCTTTTTCCCTTTTATTTTTCAGTAGCTCAGCTAGAACCAACAATTTCTCTGCCCCAGAAATCCCCAATGCCACTCTATAGTCTGCCTAACTGTGGACCCAGGAAATGGGCTGCAATTAGGATGCAAATGGGGTTCTGAAATTTCTTTCAAAAGTAGCCCGTTTTAAATATATGCAGAGGAAAAAAAAGACCTCCTTTGTTGCTTCAAATATGTCTTAACCTTTAAGGAAACATCAGGATCTGAATTTCCTGATCATATTAAAGGCACAYACAAGAAGATCATGCTTCCACACTTGAGTCTATTTCTCAAAGAGAAGAAAAAAGGATTTTATTAAAAGCTGATTGCCTGTAAAAKTTTTATACTTTGTATTGTGATCCCTTTAAAGGCACATAAATATGAGAAAGTTCAAAATATTTATATTTGATTATTCCATACTAGTGCTAAATAAATTAAGATTGAACCAAAACTGGACCTTAATATTCTTACAATATACTTTCCACAATTTTTGTTGAGGGTTCATTTCTGTGATTGTAATTCTAGTAACTTTTTCTTATATTAAGAAAAAAACCCAAGCCTCCTCAGTGGCCTCCCATAAAGCAATGAAATCTTACAGAAAGTTCCAGAATGAGACATTATAAACAAAACACTGCAGCAATTCATCATTTCCCATTTTCAAACCCAATGAGTGAAATATGACAAGAGTTAACAACAAGACAACACTGCTGCAGGACATTTGAAAATGAATATTGTTTCTGACTGTCTGGTGATAAAGTACTAATAAAAAATGACAGGAAAAGACATGAATTACAAAAACACCCCCAAAAGGGTGCAGATTTTTAAGATGTCTGTGCCCAGAGGCATCTGGGAGTCTTAGATGCCTATAATGTAATTCTTCTGAGTAGAGCAACTTTCTTAAATACATCATTCTGACAGCAGACATAGAGAATAAAACCAAACCAAACAAAACAAAACACACTCTCATCAGCGTACCTGCTGCACCCTGACAGCCAAACAATGGTGTATTTGAAGAACACGGTTTTACCACCCCAAAGGATTTTACACTTTCAGAGGTGTTAATGGAAGCACACTATGGAGAGCAATTATTCTGACAGAAACCTGAAGACTTTCTGGATTCAGTCATGTTTTCTACTGCTTAATTATTTTGTGTTTGCAGATACACAAGGAAYGTAAGATGTGTTCTCCAGTGTAATATTAACTGCACAGCCCAGCTTGGCTCCCTCAGCCCTTGCCAGGTCTCAGCTGGATTGCAGCACCTTCCACAAACTGTCACCATTTGCAGCCTAGCCCGGAATTCATAAAACATAAAGCAACAATAAGGAGCCCAGACATAAAACAAGGTGCTATAACTCTACATTTCTTTTAAGGATAGAAAGGATGAAGCTCTGCTTGATGCTTTTGAATTTATACACCTTCAGATGCCTTTYGCAGTTCTGACAGTTTATATAAGTGCA